GGATTAGGGGTAAAGGTTAACTCAACAAAGAACCCCAAGGCGTGCAAGGACAGTGAAGTAGTTAATCCTTCACCCTCGCTTTATAAACTAGACACAGCACAAGCTAAATTTATACTATGTTTTAACTGTACATATGTTACGATAGTACATTGGTTCAAGTTGCGTTATTTAAAGGGGGGGTTTTCACTTTATGTATGATTCCCAGTACGATGATTATGTGGGCAACGTATTATATCAAGAGCAAGGAAGCGGTTAGAGAGCCCATTTCTACGAGGCATCCAATTTGTTTAACGGTTTACATGCCAACAGCGTTACCAGCAGCTATACAGGTAGAGATGGAGTAGATGAGGACTTTCAGAATAGCCGTTATAGCGTTCAAACCAGCGAGACGCCGAATGCCTGAGGCAGAGGACGTCTCGAGTAGATGAGGGAATTTGAAATCCTCATTGTCGCCCTCACCTCTATCTATCGTTCTCTATAGTTCCCTGACGGCCGCCGAGCCGGCGCCGGGGAAAGACGGCTGCGTCGGCCGCGCAAGACACCCACAGCGCGCTCTCCTATTGTTCGTTCTTCCACTTTCTCACACTTTTTCACATTTGTTGTCACGCACAGGAAAAATATACTGGCGCGTTTGCGTAGCGAATAACTATGAGCAAATTGGGCGCAGGAGCGGCCTGAGACCACACACCAAACCGTATATATAGACTGCCACACAAAAGCTTAGACGTTCGCTCACTCTTTTTCTGTATGTTTGGTAGTTTAGGTGTTTTGTTTCTGGTTTGTAATCATGTATATGCCTGTACCATTCTCACACTTGCAATTTGGATTGACCTTCCCCATAATGTGGCTTAATGCGCATTGGAATGTGCCTCACTTGACACACTAGAGGCTCAAATCAGGTCATCTAGTTGCGATACACACACACTGATCCTGACTGTGTGATACATGTATCATGGACAATACAATAGATCAATGAAGTTCCAAGGCCAGGCTTACACTGGTGGTCTTTACCATGTAGTCCATGGTGTGGTTGCGGACCACTGAGTGCATGTCCTGGTCACCATACACCTGGTCAGCTGGACAACACAAGAAAAGGATCTACTAGACTGAACAGAGCACGTTTCTGGCAAGCGATGCATGCACATGTCAAGGTGGATAGTCAGTTGGTCTTTACTATAATGACAGCACACAATTAAGATGACTAGGTAATAGGCTTGCAAATAGACTGTACATAATAATATCCTTTCCAAGTATATTATTATGCAGACGTCTTTACAGACTCAATTTTTCTAATACGTGTTCACAGAGAACAAAATGTTAGAGGATATCAACATTATTCTCAGTCAAAGGCAGTAAGAGTGAGTGGGGGTTGACTGACCGACAGCTCTAAAGAGACAGGCTCCGTCAGGTTTCATTCTGTGGATGACCATTCCCCGACTCTTCTTCAGAGCCTGCTCAAACTGCCTCTCCAACTGCAGTTATAGACATTATACACAGTGTGTATATACTGTATGATAATTATACATATAGATGATGAAGAAATTGTGAATTTTAGATCCGGATAAATAGTCAAAGTTTTGAGCATTGATTTAACTACATACAGTCTAAAACGGGTAATAATATTGCTCATGGCATCAAAATCTTGTTGACAGTGAAAATGTAATTTCCAAGGAGGCGTACACTTGAGCTCCCAGATGGACGCCGTTCTTTGCATCTTTATTAAGTCACCCAAAAATCATTTCGTCTCCCATACCCCCTGAAAGAAACCAGGCCCTGTGCTAATCTCCCACGGCATATATACTATCATGTGTAACAAGCAAATCGTCACGAGAAGCCCATAGTGCAATAATCTCAACCAAGTGCGTCCTTCTCTTGGCAGGTGTACACAGCGTGTGTGAGGTTCACCTCTAGATCAAAGAAAGGAGCGTGGGTTGCCTCATACTCCTCGGCACTGTTGTAGCCACTGTAGTAGGGGGGAGTGCCAGGTTCACTGTCCCCACCGCGGTCCCTGGTGGGCGGAGGAGGACCACCCGAGGGAGGGGAGGGGTGGGAGGAGAGGGGGAGGGTGGTGAGGTGGGTGCTTGGAGAGGACGGGGAGCTCCGGGGACGATTCTCCGCTACTGCTGTACTCATAGTGCCTGGAGTGGAGCAAGTGAGAAGAGAGAGAGAGAGAGAGAGAGAGAGAGAGAGAGAGACTGGGTGAGGAAGAAATACAGGAGTACAGCGAGTTGTTGATAGAAAAGATCTGTTCCCATGGGGCAAAGTACAGAAGTTGAAGTTTGATAGCGAAAAGTGCACCACGGAGAACAAAAAAGTTTAGAGCTACAAATGTTCACGTTTTTTCCAGATGAATAGGTGTCTGGGTAAATTGTTTCCATGAACTGTTGATTCAGGAAAATGTGGCACTTACAAGGTGGTACACAGGTGTGTGGTCATTAGGATGACAAGAATGTGTTGTACATGTGACTGTGGCCAACATTTTATTCCAGACTAGTAAACCTCTTTGCAACAATCCAAACACCATGCCATCACCAGAGAAAGACTCTGCAATTTCTCGCCATAACACTTGGCCAACTCATAGGTCTTGTGTCACCATTCTAATTCGCAACAGGTTTGGTAGCTACAGGTTTCCAGCAATACATGTAGATATATCACCCAAGGATTACAGTATATACCTGGGATAGTAGCCATCGGAGGACGGTAGGAAAGGGCCTCCTCCTGTATCAGGGGAGCGGGAAGGCCCGCCAGGCGCCAGGGGAGGTCGAGTCGGAGGACTCGGGCTGGCCTCCCCTGACCCTTCACTGTCACTATCGCTCTCCTCCCCTTCCTTCTTCTTAGGTAGGATAGTCATGGCGTCCTCTGGGCCACTGGCAGCGAGGAACTCTGTTCACTACTCCACAAACACCCAGCAAGAGCTCGCGCTCCACGTCTATTTGACGACTACTCTATCTAATGCACCCCACACGCTTTTTCTTCTTTGAGCGGGTAGGTAGTTTTCTCAGTGTTCTTCGGGGCTTCTTGACAAATACCCCGTAAAGATAAGGCGTGAACCCAATACAGGAACAAGGAAGGGGGCTAGATAGAGGGGGAAAGAGAGACTATCGTTTGGCGTCCAGCCGCGTTGTCCACGTTGTTCACCTATTATCCGGAGTGAAAAGAGGAGGGATTGGTAATATCGTACGCCTACTGGTGAATGAAAGAGACCTCTCTGTGTAAAATGATCTCTTCACAGGCGAGCTCACAGGTCGGTTGACAGAGGGGGGAGACGCGCGCGTTGTCAGCAGCTTTCTGATGATGAAATCAGCCACGCCCCATGGAGAGAGTGTGCTCGATCACGCACGCGTACACTGCAAAGAAATGGCTGCCCAACGAGTAGCTTTGGTGAGTGCAGTTCAGTCCGTTCAGTTCACCATAAGTGCAGCACCTTTAGTGATTTTTACTCCACACTCCCGCTCACTCAGGTGACGGGTGCAAACCAGGGAATCGGTCTCGAGATTGTGCGTCAGCTGTGCAAAAAATTCGACGGGAAAGTGGTACTCTCAGGTGAGTCTCTATTAGCTATGTCACCGAGCCAACTAGACACGGCTTTGAGAGCGACTAGCTCGTGAGACTACATATGCAAACATCGATGAGGCCGAGAGGCAAAGACAAAAATTTATAGATACCATCTATTAGCACACAAGCTCTGCTTGTCTGTCTGTGTGCCACTAGCTATTACTTCTGTCTGAAGGGGCATGGAGTTTGTGTTGACTCCATGCAGCTAGGGATCCTGGTCGTGGAAGAGATGCGGTGAAGCAACTGGAGGGAGAAGGTCTCCACCCAGAGCTCCTGGTCCTCGATGTCTCCAGCGAGCAGAGTGTGGCCGCCGCCAAGCAGTCTCTACAGGAGACCCACAACAGACTAGATGTCCTCATTAATAACGCTGCTATCTTCCTATCTGTAAGAATGAGGCATTGTGTGGGCTCAGATGCATTGTGTAGGTTCAGAGCTTGGATAACAGATTTTGGGAGTATACCATGTTTTTGCAGGAACGGGCTGATTACGTGATTGTCGCCTTTTACTCTCGTCCTTACTAGATGATATTATAATTCAGCCACTTGTGTTTCTGTCTTCATGCAGAGTAGCGACGTGTCATTCCCAGAGGCTGTGAGACAGACTATAGCAGTCAACTACTACGGGCTACTGAGAGTCACCAATACCTTCCTACCTCTACTGCAGCCCCATGGAAGGCAAGCCTTCTGTATACGCCCATACAGACATCTACAGATTACTGTATGACGGGCAAGGCTCTATAACTGGTTATTATCTTCAAACATCAATAGCGTGGTAGCTACAGTATTTAGCTCGCAAAGGTGTACTTCAACAATGGTGGAATACCTGTATAATATAGGATCATCTACATGTCTTCTGGTCTTGGGAACATCAAGCACATTGGCCAAAAGTGGAAGGAGGCGGTGTTGAACCCTGACCTCACAGAGGAGGGTCTCACCCAGATCATGGACCAGTTTGTGGAGTGAGTACTCAGTACATTAGCTAATTCTGTGCACTCACAGTTACCTTGCTCAGTGTTCAACCTAGCTCCCTCTATGAATGTCCTAACTGCATGACCCCTACTACGTTTAGTCCTCAAGCGTAAGCTTATATGTATATACATGATCCCATTTTGATAGCTAATGTGTGCTTTATGCCAAATTGAATTGACCCTCTTTATAATTCTGTACGGAGACTTGTACACTAAGCTTTTGATGTCATTTTCCAGGGACGCTCAGAAGGAAGACTACTCTACTAGGGGGTGGCCTATTCACCAGAGCGGAGACAGATGTAAGAGATTAGCACATAGCACCAGTACATTCTGTTTTTATAATGATACCGGGGCTATTCCCGCAGATTACGCTCCCTACAATGTTTCCAAGATTGGAGTCAATCGACTGGCTGAGATACAGGCCAAGACCCTGGGATCTGACCCCAGTCGGCCTGGAGTCCTCGTCAATGCTGTAAGACTATCCTACCCTTGTGAAGTGGTATGATCTCTTTGTGTAACAGGTGTGTCCGGGATGGGTGAGGACAAGGATGGGTGGACCAACTGCTCACAGAAGCATCGAACAAGGTTTGCAATTTCACTTATGGGAGCAATCATAGCACGCAGTCGACACACCGGTGTTTTACAGTTGCACTCTTGTGGCTGCACCCTCCAGTACTATATGCGCTTGTGCACAGAAAATCAGTCGGTTTGTTGGCACCGATCGCATGTAGCGTATGATTAAAGCTCCTCTATATTAAGGGTCATGCATAGTATTACAAGTTGAAGTTCTTCTGATATAACTTGCAGAGTGATATTCCCCACTCATATTCTCCCCAGGGGCAGACACCCCAGTCTACCTGTCTCTCCTACCACCAGGTACCCAGGAGCCTCATGGACTGTTCCTCAGAGACAGACTACCTGTATCGTGGAGGTCTTGAGTTGTCTCGTCTAGACTGTTAAATCTTTTGAGAATTAATAATACATCTCTATCTAAGACTAAGAGCTGTAAAATGTTACATATTATGCTCTGCTGGCTAGAATTATAGTCAACTTGCTCTGATGTAAGGACCCCACTGCGCCATGTTAACATCATCTACCTTGGCGCTAGACCTGCATCGAATGCTGGTTATAGTCACATGTTTGTCGGGTGCAAGTTCAGGGAGTGTTCCAGACTACAGAAACAGATACGAGGTATTATACACCAATGCATAACATAGTACAACGGGGGAGAGCATTCTTCCAAGGTGATGGTAGGTACAATATCTTACCGCTGGGATGATGGTGATTTTCACATATCCTATCACCATTTCTTCCAAATTTAGCTTGATAGGTGATCTGTGTATTTGGCATGTACAGTAAGGTTAAACATAAGGTTTTGAAACAAGACCTTATATCTTGAAACAGACTCTTTTTTCGCTCTCCTCTGTTTTGTTTTTGGCCCATTACCATTTCAATATGTGCCATCAGGGAAACCATGGGGTCATAGGTGATATTAATCCTGAAAAATTTGACGCAAAAATGTCGTAATTATTTATACACTTTAGAGAGGGATACTCACATGAGAGTAGATACGGAGTAGGGCTGGTTAAAAAAGGCTTCAGAAGATAGCTTATTTTTCTCATTCTTTGAAAAAGAAGTAAACTGAACTTCATAGTCACAAAGAGGAGCTGCAATTATGCAATACATCTTTATGCAAGGTGCATGGTGAATGTGTGACAGTATAATATTCTAGCATCATTATCTGGTGTATGTTTATTACCAGCTTTGGCTAGCGAAGCAATTGTCTGAATTATGCAATTTTGTACAGACATGAGTGCGCAAAAATTATGCAGAGCAGTTTAAAGGTCACACTCTATGACTTGCGTTGCATTTATCAATGCTGTTCCTAGAGAGGCAGACAGACATTTTTGTATATTGGAGTATACTGATATTTTACCTATTATTCCTTTCATGAACTTGAATGGAATGTTTTTATCTGAAAACTGCAGGGTTGAAATCCTGTGTGAAGTTAGTGTTGTATATGTACTTGAGTAGTTTCCATCCTTTCGTATTCCCTCAATTGAGTGAATAATTACGTCTACACTCCTGCGTAACACATCACATCAGCAATCAGGTATAATAAGCTATTTATATGTTATACCTTAAAGTGAGGGTAGGGAAGAAAAGTACTTGTTGTCCTCGGCAGTTAAAATAATCACCATTGGAATAATCAAACAGGGTTAACATTGTTTGACCGTCCAACTGAACACGGACTTCATATGTGTACCCCTTTGATTTATCAGAAGCAGGGAGATCAGGATGTACTTCAAAACACAGGAAGTTAAGCAGGTAACTTCTTGGTAAAGATATACTGATTTCACCTTTATACCTACTATCAAATGTAATGTCCTTGGCTTCTCTTGCAAGAAAATTAGTTTGCTCACCTTCATCTATTTATATCATTATTATTAAAAAAAATACGCAAAGAAATGCCTAACTCACAGTAGTATCTGCCTCTTGGACGTGTTCTGGAAAGATCTGCTGTATTTACAACCCTAATACCGTCCAAAATATCTGTCTCGGTAAATAATCCAGTTGGCTCAACTATTGTGAAAATTTCCATCGCTGTGAATCGGCTGAGTCGAATTTGTTCAACTATGCCTGCAATATCTTCTTCTTCGTTGTGTGCCTTCCACTTCAAAACTGCTTGAAGAATGTCATTCTCTGGAGCAACAAATGTATCACGGGAAATGACTTCTTTCAGATAGTCTTTAGGTAGCTCAAGGAATTCCTCTGACTTCAAAATAGCAGAAGTATTTGAGGGATTCTCAATAAAATCAAGGCACTTTTTATCAATATGGTGTGCCGTCAATAATTCATTCCCTTTGCTGAAAACATAAAGCTTGATAACGGTGCCAACATTTATACTGTTTTTCAAATGTTCTCCCAGCTTTGACTTCAGCTCGGTAAAAGACATGCAATCGGCAGCATAAGTAATAGCCAGGATGTCCTGTAGATTATAGACAAGTTTAGCACACTCTAACTACTTCGTTATTATGCCTACTTAGCTACATCCATAATATCACTATAGGGATTGTGTGTTGGGATCTGGAGTTTCATTGCGCTCAAATCTATATTGTTGCCTAGGTGAAGTATTGAACATTCACCATTACAATAGTCAGTACCTATAGCTTGAAAATAGAACTATTGAATAACCAACACCGTTATAGAATCCAAATGGAGTTAAAGAGTTGCACACCAGGCAACAATATAGGGATTGTGTGATGGGATCGGGGGTTTCAGCATGCTAAAATCTGTTCGTTAACCACGCTTCATGTATCCCATCCCTATCTTGTCTCCATTTCTTTTTACCATCCCTATAATGCCTCTTTTTAAACATTCGCGGATTTTTAATTTACTTGTATAGAAGAGGAAAGGCTCTGCATGATGAGAAAGCTCCCAAAAAGAGAGCCAAAGGATTGAGTTTGGTTGTAAATGCAAGCATGCCTTCTGCTACCCTCAATCTGGTCATTGGCAGAAGTTCCATGTGTACAGCTGAAGAGGCATGTGTGCTTAGTATAGCTAGCTGTCAGTACATGTAGGGAACTTTGTACTTACATTTCATCCTTGGGGGTATATAGCTGTTCTAATCGGCTGTGTAAATGACACATAAAACAAAACAGCACTATGAGAAGGCTGAGAATAATAATTATAATCTTACCACCTTATACCGTACTTACATCTAATGGTTCATCAAGTTTCAGGGATTCAATATAGGCATATTGTAGCACTTTCTGAAAGGTAGCTGGGGCTACACTACCATCAGGAAATAATTTAATCTTCTTCTGTGATGCCTCTTTCATCCTCCCATACAACATCCTCTTGAAATAGTCGGATTTGGAGGCCAGCACCATCTTATGGGCAGGAAACTCCCTGCCACCCACCAAGAATACAACATCTGTAAATTCTGGCCTCTTTTTCCAGAGATCAGCAGCCAAATTGGTATGATTATCAGACTCCAGAGTAACTGAGAGTAAGAATAATGCCAAACAGGCATAGATTTGTCCCTGGCTACAAGCAATGCATGCTGCATAAAACCATGTGCTTATAAGTAATTAACTTGGACACTGTTGAGTGTTCACAATTTATGCCACATCTAAAGCTGAAACATACAAGTAGAGCAAGTTATACCTCTGATCCGTTTTGGCTGTGGAGGAAACACGTTTTCCACTGTTGTTGTTTTGAAGCATGAATGAAAGTAGCATTTGAGTCAAAACAACTTACTTGTTTTCTTGTTTGTCCTAACAGTGGCAATGGCACACTGGCATATGTCGTATATACTGAGAAATGCTGACTATAAACCACGTGATGATGTCAAACCAGTGATATGTTATGAATATCTATATTTGCACTCATAATCATGAGTTCGTATGAGATTCACAGTTCATCTTACTCAATAATAGCTTGGGGTAGTAAAGAGTGAAAACGTGTAGTTCAATTTCTGATCAGATGGCTGTAAGGAAGGCTGTTAATCCAGCCATGTCATCCACATCATCTGTAGTAGCACTATATAGATCTGCAGTGAATACTGTAGGCTGCTGGACTTGCTCTGATCTTTCTGAAGTGGATTCTCGTAGGCTACAGAGGTACACGTACAATAATTATGTACATTCATCTCTGCCTCTTTAATCAACTCCCTATCCTTTCCCCAGCATAGGTTTTAACTATTTTGTAGACATATACAAGCGGAAGAAGAGACGAACCAGCTATAATAACTGGAGTTGGAGAATTGAATAGTAATGCTCTCCATCTTCCTGCACTTACCAATCCCTCTTTTGCCTCTATTTATTTCGCTCTCCAATTTCAATCAACCCCCCAGCCACCCCACCTAAAGGTTTCAATGATTTTGCACGAACATCAGTGCGACAAGAGACAACAAACCATCCGTTATATTTTGAGTATCATTGGAGTATGGAATGGTAATGCACTCCATCTTCCTGCACCTATCTACCGCTACCAATTTCTTTCGCCTCTATTTCGCTCTCCTTTTCCAATCAACCCCAACCTATAATAAAAGTTTCAACGATTTTGCAATTTTTGTAGGAACATCAGTGCAACAAGTGACAAGCAAATCATCCGTTATAATGTTGACTATCACTGGAGTATGGAATAGTAATTAACTCTTTTTTTCCTGCACCTATTCATATCTAGCTTCACATATCTATCTTTGCACTGTAGCCAACCCCCCAACCTCTAATAAAAGGGTCAATGATTTTGCATTTATTTTAGAAACATCAGCGGAACAAGAGACAGGCCAACCATCTGTAATATTTTGGCTATCGTTGGAGTATGGAACAGTAATACTTCTGCATTTCCTGCACCTATTCTTAGTTAGCTTCACCTATCTCTCTCTTTCGCCTCTATTGCGCCATCCCTCAGCCAATCAACCCCCAACCTCAACAATTCAGTGTTTTTTGTAGGAACATTAATTAGTGTAAGAAGAGACATCCGCACTGTCATTAGTCTATTGTTGAGTATAGAATGGGAACGTAATGCTGTGTTATCTGCTTCGCCACTCCCAGACTGAATGTCACTTATAAACTTTTGAGGCTAGGAAACCACAGAAAAAGGTGAGAGCCAGCTTCGACTTTTGCCCGGTCGATCAAAGTTACCACATACCACGTGGTCTTGTCTCATCATGCTGTTAATACGCATGCGCAGATCAAACGGGACTAATGGAGCGTTTTCCGCGGCTGCGCGCGCGCGCGTGGCCGGCCGTGGTTGTTGCGCGGTCGCCGCGCCGCCGGTTTACGCGTGCGCATCGCGCGGGGTTGGCGGGCCGCTAAAAAGGGAGGGTCGTCCAGCAGCAGGGCAGTAAAGTTACTCAGTCGCCTGCTAGCTGCTGAGCTCCTCTGTTGGGAGGGCGTTGGCTTACCTTGTTCGTAGTACGTTGGTTGGTTTACCTTGTTCGTAGTATTGAGCCGAGACTATGCTGGTGAGTCCAGACTTGTGCTAAACTTCATCGTGCAGTAGGCAGTAAGTTCCTTTTCCTAGTGTACTAGTCGTTGCGCTAGCTAGGCATGCGCATGGCAAAGGAGAACGCTGCGAAGTGTAGCCCCTGAGAACGTTACTCGCCGTTTTTTTCCTGCATGTTCTGCTCCAGTCGCCCTTTCTTACATCAGGGTGCTGCATGGCTTAGTTTTGGGGGGGTGTGGTGTTTCTGTACATTTCACTTCCATTTGCACATTGCATCTCTATTTGCTGGCACGTGCAAGCCATTAGTGCTAGTGTACTTCTGTGTGCATTTCACGATCTTTCCTTCTTTAGCAAGAACATCTTGGATTTATGTGTGTTTCTTGTGCAAGTTTGGAGGGGAATTTCCTGGTGGTATATACCAGCTTTAGTCTAGGGGGGGCATCCTGTGTTGTTTAGTGGCAGCAGGAGCCAGCAGCAACTTTGTCTCAGGTGGTCCTTTGTTGTGCCCCCATTATTGGAGCGCTAAATACTGAATGCGGGCATTGTTGTGTGTCTGTGTGTGTCATTTGTTGCCTCAGTGTGCTAATGTTTAGATCCTAATTGTGATACCTTATCTGTTGCACTAATGTGTCTGTGTTTTCAAGTTTTCACCTTGTTTATGCTCCCTCTCTCCCTCTTCTCCCTCCCTCCTCCCCCATCTTCTCCCCACCCATCTCCTGCAGACAACTGTAGTATTCAGGACCAGTGGAGAGTATTATGATGCTGACGCAGCGTATTAGTGCCCTAGCTCACGACCTGGCACGGCAGTGCCACGTGGGAACAGGAGGAGGGGGAGGAGGCAGTGGTGGTCAGTCTCATCACTCTGAGGAGAAGACTAGTGGTAGCAGTGGGAAGACAACCAGGGACGGCTCCCATCGCTACAGTATAGCTCGCAGACGTAAGTATGTGTGTGTTTGAGCGTTTACCATTGTATGCTTGCTTCATGAGAGATAGTCAAAACAGCTAGGGCAACGCAAAAGCAAACAATTGAACGACACATAGGACAAGCTGTCGTGGGTTGTAATTGTTGTGTGCTCGCGTAATTGTGTCTAAAGTGGCCTGATGGTGGTGCCACGACAAGTTATGGACATAGTAATACGGGTATGCACAGACGTTTTTGGATACTTGTAAGGGTTTTAGATTGTATTTTACATGCGTTGGCTTGTTCAGCCACTGGGGTTTATATACAGATAGAGTCATGGTTACTATCACACACTGTAGGAAGCACTGCACTCTTAGGAGATGATGGCTGCCGAGTATATAGTAAAGTGCATGAGTTTTAGCATTTAACTCGGATACTTACAGGTACGTATATATCTTTCTTCACCAGTTTAATGTTTCATATACAGTGTTTCAGCCCTGTTACAGTGTGTGTCACGAGGTTTTGTACCAGAGTTTTGTGTTCTATGGCTCAGCTCTTGCAGCTATGTATACACATACATCATGTGTAATATAACAGTACTATAGTCTTTCTGTCTGTCACACCTGACAACAAATTGAGTCATCTGCCAGGGACAGCCTTGCCTGTTGAGGCGCAACAATACTTTGACACTGGCCTACATATGTTTGCTTTACGTTTCTATTGTTGGTGGCCAGTTGGCAGCTAATTGTCGATACAGCTGTAGTGTGTGCGTGTGAAGAGAAGCTGCAAACTGATACGTGTATTCCCACACAGTACAAATTCAGCACCACTGTACACATACTGTATGATGTACACGTACATAAGCAATCCAATTCTTCCCTGCTGAATTGAAGGGGCAGCGTCCACGTTCATCGATTATTATGTTTCTTGAAGCAATCGGGCTGTGTCAACGTCCATCACGATACTGAAGTAGTCCAATTCTGAATTTAAAGGGGAAGCATTTTGAAGAAATTCATTCCTGTGTGCTGCAGTGTCGATTAGCTCTTTCCCAATGTGTGTCTGCTGCAGGTCGTACTCATTCCAGTGCCATCATGGAACGGAAACTGCTGGACTACTACGAGCTGGGAGACGTGATTGGAGAGGGAGGGTTTGGGTCTGTATCTGCAGGCACCTGCAGACATAACGGAGACACAGTGAGTTTCAAATGCCATTGAGCATTTCGTGTTGACAAGTGTCTACTGGTGCATGAAGCTCACACATTGTAAGGTTATTCAGTATAATTATAGTCCTTCCTGACCATCAATGCATGGTTCATGCGTTTTAAGGGCCCGATTTTTTTTCGTGGTCTATTTAAATTTTTGAGAGATCCCAGTAAACAGTAGTATGTAGGTGCATAATACATACCCACTGGTTTGTACACTTTTGCATTATCTTGCGACTATGACTGCGTGTGTGTACTTGCATTGTATAATGTGTACATGTACAACTGAAAGTGACTTCCGTCCTTCTCTTGTGTTACAGGTGGCAATCAAGATCATACCCAAGTCCAAAGTGTTCTCCTGGTCCAAGGTTTGTTCATCATCAGAGTGTCGTGACACAATTGCACGTAATGTTTGCGTTGGTGTATGGGGGTGCTAGAGCTAATGAGGTGTATGGGGGGTGCTATATAGAGCTATTGAGGTAATTAATCACCATATCCTCCAGCTTTACATAGCTCTATCTGGTTTTGTTCCGTGCAAATTATCTTCTGCAGTTAGTCTCCGATTATTGCCTTTTACATGTCATGGAGTTACTGCACTTTTGGTGTCCATTTCGCTGTGCCCTGTCTGTTGGGCTGACCTTGGCAACTCAGTGTAGGAAGAGCAATTTGCCTGGAGAGCATGAGAGAACCACACCCACTAGATTTGTAGTAGTACATGGCTTTGCATCAAACCTTCCCGTCTTACATACACATGCACCCTGTGATCACCTGTGCATCTGGTGTTATGTGTACAAACAGTGAATCTTTGAAAATGAGCTTTCCCTGTTGGTTGGTATTCAAGTGTAACCAACTTCAGTGCTTGTATGGAGCATTAGCACACCATGCGGTTAGTAATAATATAGTCCCTTTGAACTAAACTCAGGCATTCTGACACATGTACGTACATACACACACAATGCCACAAACTAGTTAGTGCGTGCATGGAGCTTGAGCAGTTAGGGTGTAGTTTTCTGTTGTGTAAAATGCACTCTACACTATTGGGTTAGCTAGCCCATGGTGTAAAGAGGGCTTCCCTGTAGACTAAATTTGCTACCAAGCTGCAGTACACCTGTAGCCTCAGGTGTAGTAAAGTGATGTGGGTGGGCAATCCAGTGGAACTATATAGTCTATCAACTGGTGTGGGGGATGTCTACTGCTCATTGTCCTGCCCTTAGAGTCTGTGCCCAAGCTGTGGGCTGTGGAGGCTTTACTGAGGCTATAGTAACAGTTCCCACACAACTCAATAATAAATCTGGCTGTAAATGAATAGAGTACAGTGTGTAAATAAATACCTAGTACTGTGTGTCAGTGTATGTATACAATGCTCCTTGCCCTGCACAACCATTCATATAGGCTGGCAGGTGAGATGTGGTAATTTGTAAGAGTAGGCTTTACACCTAGCAATAGATCCAAGACTGCCTTTATGCTGGGAGTGATACGCGACACTTGAGACTACAATACTGGACATGGCCAGCTTCCAACGTTCCTTGTGTGTGTTTTGTGCATGTAAAAGTTGTGCGAGCGTGGTTCTTGTTTGGCTGTGCATCTGTGAATGTGTCAAGTGACAAGGGTTTTGAAGAAACGCCCGTACGTTTGCCTCCTTTCCCAGTGTATGCAGTACTCCTACAACAATGTACTGATCAATGGAGGAGCGTCAATCACCCTTGTGCAGTACAGCTTTGACGCACATTAGACACATGTTGACTGGCAGAGCTGTGATCAGGACGGTTGATGCCCAGCCTATTTTCCAGCGTGTATGCCTGCACATACTGATCTATAGCGTCATGGGAAGGAGTGTCAGAAGCTTGTTTGGTGTTTGGTGACATTATAAGGCTATATTATACCACTGTTTTCAGCAATAGGTGGAACTATAACTGTGTGTTACTTACTGCTGTGCTTCAGCTACCTGTATATAGCTGTTGTTTGTCGGTTTGTGTGGTTACTAATTTTCATTTCAGTGACCACACACTACCATTAGTGTATAGTTCATTTATGATAATGTATACTATATTATAGTGTACATAGTACTCTTTTGCTATGCTTGCCACACTCGTGTTATTTTGATTTACCCTGCATTCCATGCATTTCTTTCACCTGCCGCAACCCACAAGGGAGAAAGAGGGAGGTCAAATGTTTAGCTATGATATCACTACCTCCGTCCACATTGCCCTGTACACAGTACGTGAATAACAGTATAGGCTCTTTACAGGTACTGGCCTTACTTACTGACAGTGTCCATACAGAATAAAGCTACACTGACTTCTGCCCACAATAGGTGAATATCAAAAGATAAGGCATGTGTAGATCAGTACTAGTGTAGGCTGCATACTTCTTACTGTTTACATACATTGATGGGTGTGTGCAAACTGTGCCTGTGGTGATTGGGAAACTCCTGTACTCAATATGGCGTGATAGTGGGTGAGAGATTAGGGAGGGAGGCTATATCGTGATTTAATGCCGCCTGCTTTATTGACCGTGTAGAGTGGGCACTAGACTCATTTGTTGCATATCCACCTTCAATTGAAATTGCATTTGGTGGCTCAAAGTAAAGAGCAGGTGGGCCTTACATTACCAAAGATATGCAATCTCGAAGACCAGCTACACTTTAGTACAACTCTCAACAAGACTCATGTGTGTAAATGGATGGACCATGTCTCTGTCTGTAGTAGACTAGGAGGCTACACATTATACACACTCTGTATATACACGACTCTACAAGACTGTACTGTGATGGCCGATCGTGTATGCTGCTTGGATGTTGTGTGACTATGGCCCTAGCATGTCCGACGGTGTACCTGCCCCATGTGTCCGCTGTCTGTCTGTCTGTCTGTCTGTCTATGGAAGACTAGGAGACTACAACGTTTGTGTGCAAGAGATGCATGTCCCTCAGGGTTGCATCTACATACATACAACTTATGTAGAGATATCCTATTACTAAGTACGGTAGCACTTCCATGTACATAGGACTGCAGTATACGCTGGTAATGTGTATGTATGTATGCAGCATCACGTTCATTGGAACGCATGTATATACAGCATACATATTCCAGCCTCACTCGCTTTCTACAGCCATGTTCTGTCAGGTAACGGTCTAGCTGCACATAAGTGTGGTTGAATCATTGTGGCTCAGTATTGCTCAAACGTTGAGAAAAAGTTTCCCTCTAGAAGAGGCTATTGCAGTAGGCATTGCCACACTGTTTCCCAACAGATTTCCCCCCAATTTCCCGGTATTATACCCTATTTTCTGAAAGGCATTGCAAATATGATAATTTGCAAGTTGGGTGTAGCTCCCTTTGAAATCCGCCTTTGACACATGTTTCCGAACACGGAGCATTATTGAGATGTCACTGGTATTCTTTGAAGTCACACGCTTTCCATTCTCGTCTGCAGTTTTGTTTTTCATGTGGAGACACTATAGTTTGGGGCGTTTTTCAGCCGGGAACAGTTGTAGATGAGTGTGCTTCGAGCAAGAGCTCTCGGTAGATGTTTGTTTCTACTATGTGTATTACAAAATGAAGGGGAAGCTTGGTTTTTTGGGACCTCTTGGTGTACATTTTCATGTTCATCTATCTGATCTGTTGATATCCGTGATAGAGTATTGTCGTGAAAGTGAAAGGGAGTCCTACATTTTTTGGGCTTCTTGGTGTGTGGGTGACTTATATACACATCTCTGCTTCCTTCATTGGAAGCTTGATATCATCCATCACCTTACTCTATGTGGGAGTGTCTCATAATTATGCTACACTATTAGGTGGGTGTCTCTGTTCTCTTGCTGTAGTAGTGACAGGATTGTAGGCTGGACCTGTGTCCTGTGTTATGTGATATCATTTCCCAGTACTGTGGACCATTCTAAAGTAATGGAACGAAGACAAGCTGCTTACCTTTAACGATTATTAGCAAACTTACTGTGTGTAATGACAGGTTTTTAGGCTGGACCTGTGTCCTGTGCGAAGTGTCATCATTTCCCCTCAGGACTTCACTACAACTAGGGTTGCTAGTGAGAGATATGTCATTACCCATCGGACATAGTGGACACTGCCAGTGTTAACAAATTCACTACCACTTGAGAGAGAGAGAGAGCGTTATGTGTGGGTTGCTATTGGTGGTGGGTGTGTAGTGTAGGGCACAGGGGTTGAGGTCCAACCGCTAATGAAGCATGTGTCAAGTGGTGGTAGTGGACCGTAGAAAATGTCTCAGTGTGTGACTGTGTGTGTGTGACTGTGTGTGTGGTGTGGTGATGTGCTGTCTGTGGTTGATGTGGTGTGACGTGTGGGAACCAAACTGCGTTGGTGTAACACTGTATTCTTGTGTATACTTGGTTATTTGTCTGGAGTGGTCTCTTGACCTGCTCCCTACGCAGTCTAAAGGGTGTCTGTCTACACCTTAACTTACTGCACCACCTCCCACTTCCCCAGTAGAACTAGAACTCTCATGAGGCGGGGACTGTTGGGTCCTCCAACGTGCACAAAGCATAGCTACATGATTGCAGAAACGTTTGTTTAAAAACGTAACTCACATGCTCTTCCTCCTCCTCCTCCTCCTCCTCCTCCTCCTCTTCCTCCTCCTCCTCCTCCTTCTCCTCCAGATTGGGCAACAGGTGGTCCCGAAGGAGGTGGCCCTTCTCAACCGTCTGAAGCACAAGTACGTCATCAAGATGTTGGACCATTTCGAGGACCACGACAATTTCTACATTGTCATGGAGAGACCCGAGAAGTACATCGATCTCTTTGACTACATCTCGGGGAAGAGGATCATGAGTGAGCGCTCGGCTCGCTTCCTATTCCGTCAGGTGAGACAGTGTTTTGTGCCTTCTCGTCGCCGTGTACCGTTGGATATGAAATATCTACACATTAGTATTGAAAGGGTGATGTCAACAATGGGTCAACCCGCATGGTTTCTGTTGAACAAGTGCTATTTATCTCTCACTGCTCTGGCAGTAACAGCTTGAGGTGTTTATCATTATGTGATGCATACGCATTAAATTAGCCCTATTGTCTTAAACTCAGTTGTCATGATGTGATTAGTACATGTAAAAAGTATACGAGGTACATAGAAAGGCAAAGGCACAACAAACAGGTCAACTGTGTGACATATATACCTATACTATTTTCCCTCGATGATTGATGTATATGTACAGGTGGTGGAGGCGGTGCAGTACTGTATGTCAATGGGAGTCCTCCACAGGGACGTGAAGGACGAGAACATACTCATTGATCTCAAGACCAGTCAGATCAAACTCATCGACTTTGGCTCCGGGACCTTTCTCAGGGACGATGTCTACACTGAGTATGAAGGTATGTAGGGGCAGATACACCTGACCATGATGCATGGTGCAGTTTGGAGTTGGCGTGAAATCGAAAGCAGTTGTAGTGGTTAGCAAACCTCCTCCAATGTCTGCAGCTGTTAGAACTGAAGTGAAGCCTATAATTATGCACTATACCACAATCATGTCAAAACAGCTGTGTAGCTACATACAAAAAACATCTTGCTGACCATCAGCCTTCGCTGCATAGCTTCCTGAGCATATGACGTACGTATTATATGTGTGAGCAGCTTCTCTATACACGTTTAGCTAGATAAGGCGCGCATGTACGCATGCGCACATGACATCTGGCACGCCCCCCTCCTCCCCCTGACGCATGCGCACATCCCTAACCAGGCCACGTGGTTCTTCCTAGCAGCGTATATACGTGTCTCGTTGACTCTATAGACGGTTCCCAACAACCTGTTTTATTTGAGGCACATACACTAGTATTTCTGTATAATTGACAATCCCTCTACCACTGTATCCTGCAGGAACGAAGGTGTATGCTCCCCCAGAGTGGATCCTGCACCACCAGTACCACGCTCTCCCCGCCACAGTCTGGTCCCTGGGCATCCTCCTCTACGACATGCTACTGGGTGACGTCCCCTTTGAGACTGAGGCTCAGATCGTGGCCGGCTACCTCGACTTCCACATACAGCTCTCTTCGGGTACACCTACATACAATGTGTATACTTAGTGGGAGACATTTTTATGCGGTACATGCACAAAATGTGTATACTTGGGGAAGATTTATTGGTAAATGGCACGAGGGGTAATAATATCACACGAAAAGCCACTTCTTCACTCCTCAAACTTGCAAACTGTAGCATGCATGGAGGTGAAACTTGGTGCGCATGTGTATTACATCGTTTCCATGACGACCACGACTTTGCACTGTTTTCATCACACTCTTATATGGAGTTGCAATGCAGTAGTATGCAGACAGGCACTAGTATGTTTGGAGTTCTCTGTGAACCCATCAAACTTTACACAATGGTATTCTGCGTTAAGTTAAGAATAATTGTTTTCCTTTGTAATGCATGTTTTCTCACATCTAAAATAAAACACCAACCTCGTTCTCTCCCCACAGATGCTCGCTCACTCATCCAGTGGCTCCTGGAGTTCCGCGCTCAGGACCGACCCAATCTCGAACAGATCCTCAAACACCCGTGGCTTAAGTCCCCCGGTAAATCTCCCCACAGCCCCTCTAATAATAAGATCTCCACCACCGTCTCCTCGCCGCAAACCAAACAGCACCTGATATCCCCGTCCAGTAGGGTGTCTCCGTCGGCCACCAAACCACAGAGTCGTACGTCCTCTCTCTGTCGGAAGGAGACCACCAGTTCACCGTCACACGGGGCTGGTCGTGGGAGCAGAGGAGCCGGCACTCCCTCTTCCCCCTCCGGCTCTTCTTCTTCCTCCTACTTTACTCCACCGCAGGGCCGAACGGGGGTGAAATACAGCGTCCCTATGAGCGGTAATTCGTCACCCGATACTCCACTCGGGAACCGTACATCTTCCCCTTTGCTTCATCGTAAAAACGGGGGTCTTGGTTGTTGTCTCCCGTCGGTCGTCTCGGCTAGAAATGTGTCTCCGTCGAGTGGCCACGGTGGAAGTAGAGGGCCCTCCCTCCACAGAGTATCTCCGACCACCGCGAAATCTTCAAAGTCTGTTATGCGACGGTTTGTGTCCCCCGTGCCCCCACCCCGTGGTCCCACCTCACACTGTGGTGGCTACAGTGGTGGTGGTAGCGGGGTTGTAGGGACAACAGTACAGGATGTCACAGGTACTAGAGGGGGAGAGAGGCTTCAACCTGAGGCTTCCAGAACTCAGCTACTGGTGGGGAGAAAACAGGCCTTCTAGTGAATGTCTCTACTACTAACAGTGACAGTTATTTGTTGCGCAATGTTTGCGCCAGTGATATTTTTTGATTGCCTGGGCACCGTCACATCACTTCACAATGATTGTAACCCATTCATCAGCAGGCACATTGCAGTGATTCTCATTATTATTATTTCATCCAAATTTCATTCTACTTGTAATATTGTTATAACACCTTGCAACAATCCTGGCGGGAAGCGTGTACCAGTTGTATTTTCCGCTGCCGATTATGCAAGTATTATAGATAAGGGAGTGGTACTAACTAACCCAGAAACGTGTGCTGTGTTGATGCAGTATTAAACATTTTGGGGCTCAGGGTTGCGCAGTGTGTGTTGCAGTACTTTGGTTCGTACATAAGTGTGTGTGTATATAATTTTGTCTTTTGTCTTGTTGCGATGTTTTCTTCCACTACACGCAAAATACCAACCAAAATGACGCATTTAGTGCTGCACTGGCTTTTTATAGCTAGCCCACCACATAGATTTGTCTCAACTATGACTTCTGTGTAACACAGTTGGCTTGTATTCTTCGCCCAATGGCAATTCTCGGTGTTGTCTGGTGGATAAGGACTCACAAACTAGTGACTGTGAGGTAAAAGGCCTTTATTAGAGAGTCGGTATTAGAGAGTCGGTAGACTCTATATAGGGATGAGACGGGTGAAATCTCACGTGATCCGCGTACAAAACGACTAAAAACTCGGTGAGAATCACTTCCTAGGCCTTCAAAACATACTAGCAATAGTCTACGGGCCCATATCTACCTATACATGTCCCCCAAGAGCTCATACGCACCTTCAGTCGTCCACGCGAGAATTCGCTCATACGCGATTTCACGATTTTCGTGTCATCATATTCTTCATCTTCTTCTTCTTCTTCTTCTTCTTTAAACCCGCTATCTCCTTACCAGTACCAGTTCAAGCACTGATTTTTTCACTGAAGGTCTCCAATTTCGCCGGAGGTGTGCACGGACATCAAGCGATCGTTTCTTTCTTGCCGCTAGTCACTACGGTAGATCATGGAGCTCTTCCCTGGTCGACCTGAACAACGCCATTTGCTGCTTACTCAGCATCAGTGATCCGCGCGCATGCGCCAGGCAGGGGCGTTGTCCAATGTGCTTGCGAGCGTATTCTACCGGGCGAGTTGGCAGACCTGCAGAGGAACTGTCAGCCTCCAGTACCTTCTGTAAGTAAGTGTGCACATTTCCAACTGGCTATCTTGCTGTTCATTTGCACGAAGAGCAACTTGCCAGAGTCTGCGCGGTGTTAGCCTTGCGGGGCAAATGGGCCTTCATTGTTTGTCCCCCCAGGTTGTAACCTGATTACCAAAGCCAGAAATTTGCTGCTGGGAGAGATTCACTACCAGCATAAAATGTAACCAGAAACACACACACACACACACAAGAACCACTGGTGCTACGCGGTGCTCATGCATATTGTACATTGTCAAGTTTAACAGCATTGTCAGATAAAATAATGGACATTACGAATATTATACATGTCATGTTATATACAGGTTGGGGTTGCAAATTTACATCATAGCTATATAGCAAAACGAAATTGCTAACCACTAATACTATATACTACTATTGTTTCAACTCATTTTGTCACTTGCAACTCAGCCTAGGTAAACCAATAAAGGAAACATGAGCAGGAAAGAAACAAGAAAAGGAGGAATGAGAGTGGCTACAGCACTAGAAGCTGCAGCTGCACTTGTGGGTTCGGTTGAAGCTGCACTTGCGGGCTCGGTTGAAGCTGCACTTGCGGGCTCGGTTGAAGCTGCACTTGCGGGCTCGGTTGAAGCTGCACTTGTGGGCTCGGTTGAAGCTGCACTTGTGGGCTCGGTTGAAGCTGCAGTTGTGGGCTCGGTTGAAGCTGCAGTTGTGGGCTCGGTTGAAGCTGCAGTTGTGGGCTCGGTTGAAGCTGCAGTGTGGCTCGGTTGAAGCTGCAGTTGTGGGCTCGGTTGAAGCTGCAGTTGTGGGCTCGGTTGAAGCTGCACTTGTGGGTCGGTTGAAGCTGCACTTGTGGCTCGGTTGAAGCTGCACTTGTGGGCTCGGTTGAAGGTGCACTTGTGGGTGCGGTTGAAGCTGCACTTGTGGGTGCGGTTGAAGGTGCACTTGTGGGTCGGTTGAAGTGCACTTGTGCTACACTTGTAGTTGTGACTACACTTGTAGTTGGTGCACTTGTAGCTGGACTAGCAACGACACAGTCAGAATAAATTGCGCTCCCCTGCTCTGCAGGGATGGTGTAAGTAAAAGTGAGAGAATCCCATCTGATTCTGTCTCCATATCCAAGCTACAAAGAAATAATTGTGATTGTCAGTTTAATGTAGACGTGACTCATTAAACTCACAGAAAAAAGGTCAGGTAGTTGATAAAAGCAGCAAATGTTATATCGATATCTTGCCACCCATGACTAGCGTCCACACATGCAGAGTTGTATACATCTGAATCTGTAGGAGTACACACATGAAAAGTAGCAAGCAACGTGATACTATAAGGAATGGAGGCCGTTACACTCACTCCAACCTGAGCAATCTAAAAACAGAGAGTAGAGATTTCAATAATGTGTGCAAAATTAATGTCACTGGAACATACCAGAGCTGAGACAGTTAGACTGCCATCAAAACTTGCTGAAATAGATGGTACTATTGCTGCACTTGCTTCAATGTCGTTGCTCACACCTTGTTGAACAGAAATGTCTATATAGGTTCCAATGCTAACGTGCACATCCAACCCAAGAGTAATGGGTACACTATACACATAGAATGTATAGGAGGTTGAAAACAGTATTCTCTGGTAGCCTGAGAGTTGGTCGCTGTAGGAGTCAGGTGGGTTGATGTCAAACACAATATCTCCAGCAAACAAGACGTATATTCTATCATTCCTTCCCTCAATCGTCAGGATATTGCCTTCACGGCCTAGTACATGAGCATCGACGACAGCCTTTCCAAACATCTTTAAGTCACACTGGTCAATGTTAGCACCGGCAAAAAGCCCAGCTGCTGCCTGAAGGTAGATTGGGTATTCTCCACTATTCTGTCCTACGGTCGTGCTCCACAGATAGCCTCGGTGATATGGATAATTAGCGACATCATTAGCTCTCTGAGATGCTGAAGCAATTATGTTGTACTCCGAAGCAGTCGAATCCCATATTTCTGTGTCTCGCCTTTGGCGATTCATGTTTCTATCATCCATTAAATCTGCTGAACTTGAAGTTGGTACACCCATCTTTTTAAAAAGACGATTTAGTTCGTTTTGAAGATCGTTGTTCCTGAGATCATTAGTAACCTGAACTAAACACCGAACGAGATCCGAGTCCAACTCCATGTCTTTGTCGTAGTCATATCCATTACGTAGAGCTTGGATGATTGCTTCCACCAAAGAATCTGAACTCTCCTTGTGAAGAATGCTGACTAACTGTTGCTGAACAATTGGCAGTCCGGTAAAAAACCTCAGTGTGCTCACAGCAGTCAGTCTAACATCTTTGTCGTCGTAATGGACATAGGGTATTATGTGCTCAATTGCCAGCGATGATTTCGTGTTTCCAAGCGCGTGCAAAACATGAATGAGGGTATCAGTGTTGTTTTCGGTAAGTCGATCGGTGAGAAATGTCACCATCTTCATTTCCTGGTCAGGAGCAGCATTAGCCACCAGTGACCCATACACCAGTAGCAACGATGACGTTGTTTCAGTAATCATGTCTTCTATTGTTTGGATCACTTGAGAACTGGGTGTTGGTAGTAAAGCAATAGCTAGCATGACTACCCTCCTTTCTGCATCAGACAGATCTGTCCCATCAAGTTGCTCAATCAATGCCTGTAGGACAATGAAGAGGTTATCTACATACAATAATGTCCCCCAAAAGAATGGCTCTGAATGAGTAGGAGAAAATTCTTCAAAATGATATAAGACTAAGTTTTGATCACAAAATCTGCTGGTCAGCACTTTTCTTTGTTTTTAGCTCGTAACCCATGTTCATAACCTGTTTTTCTTATGGCATTGGGTAACCAACAACAAATTTCATGACTCAAAACTTAGTCTTATATGAATAACAAGTGAAAATTATATAAACTGTTACTCATAAAGTGATGCTATGTAGCCCACATAGCACATTATCCGACAGTACGCCGTATTATTGTCCATGGATCATAACAGTGTACACTCCGATCTACTTACAGTTTCTGCCCTTCTGCTTCCTTCTGAACTGAGTAGAGAATAGATATTCACTCGCTGTGCCACATACTCCTCTGGTTCCAATGTTTTTATCTAATAGAACAGTGTAGTAATTCTATCTAGCTATATATGTACATATACAACGTTACCTTCCTCAGATAGTTTAACACAATCTGCGTCACAGACACCCCTTCAGGTCTATATTTCCGCTCAAGGACCATTACTTTCTCCAACATGCTGACTGAAAATGGGGTTACAGGTATGGTATGAGAGTATGCATACCACTACTAAAAAGGAAGGCCCTGAAGTATATACAAACCCTCAGCACCATTAATGTGCATGTTTGTATGTGTAGCTGTAGGTAAAAATGTGGCCTGTCTGCTATGGATATGGACCTTAATACTGAACGTATATAGCTGGCAAAAATATTAAGTGAATAATTACTATACTTAGGCTAATCTCATTTCTAGGATGGCACCTAACATCCCTAGAAACACAATTATTGTGTCAATGAAACGTACAGGTTTTGCTGCTGTTAGTGTTTCGTAGAGCCCTAATGACTTGTTCGGAAGTTTTAAAATGCTGGCGAAGATTCTCCAGTGTGTCAATCTCAACTTTTCCTGCAAAAGAAGTACATTACAAGTGACGTGTAGCTGGTCCAGTGTGATGAATGCACTTACTCTCATCATATGTGGCCATAAGACCCTCTTCCAATGAAAATCCTCCATCAAGATGTTGCTGGACTGCTCTCCTCCTTCTAGTCGGCCGAACAGTTTTACACTCATTTAGTTTCATATCAAACAATCCACGAACTGTAACAACATCAGCAAATTCATCCATTCCTCCCGATCCTTCGCCACTGCTGTGTGTTTCTTTGTCTACTGATAGGTACATGTTTCCACTGGACCTGAACAATCTACCATCCCTGTATTCAATGTCGTCTTCTTCCCGCAACTGAACATCTCTCGTGTGTACACCACTTGAATATTCCAAGATATCTTCGCTCGTGACTGTACGGTGAATCTTGCTTTCCCTCCTTGACCAGCTGAATAACTGTACAATAGAGTGCATATTGTTATTCAACACCATTATGAGAGCAATAAGCTCCTACCTGTAATGGGAGCTATGTCGTGATTGAGGATCAGTCTCAATCTCTTCACCAGTTCCTTTGAAATTCGTTTGAAAAGCTGAAGCAATCCCTTTCTTGAAGTTGGTGACTTTGGCATCCTCGGTGCGTGGGTGAAACACTGAAACAACTTTACCATCCCTGGTCTGAACAAAGCAGAACACTCCCGAAAGATATTCGACAGTATAATTTTTCATCATTCTGTAAAAAAAGAAGAAAGTTAATTTCAACATTCCTTAATTTTCTCCACAGTACAGTATATACTTGTAATATTGTGCATAAACGTAACTCACTCATAATGTTCAGGTTCTGTTGCTCTGTTTTCGGTGAAATTGAGGAAACTTCCTCCGACATCTGTCACCGTCATGCAGTATCTTGTGGCCGTGTTAGGTCCGTAGAAACCACCTAACAGACATTAGTCCACCAGTTAATGTGACAGCTCGCAGACATTGTTATCAGTGAGAGTGCACAGAAAAGGGGTTCGTTCATGAATGCATACAAAAATTACATAATCTCCGTTCAGAGTATGCGCACACACGAAACGCATTGCATTTGTTCTATGTAGTCAATCATAAAATTATACTGCAAGTGATATTAGGAGTCTTACTTGATTCACATATGATCTCAACGTTTGCCTCGATACTGATGGGCTTATCCATGTGTCTGAACTGACCCACTTCCATTGAGTACTTGTATTCACACACTTGGTCATCCTAGACGGTAAGGACAGCGATAGCTAATAAACAAAAAGTTTCTTCCAACTTACTCTGCACGAGTTTGAAGAGGATCTGGAGTAGTGTAACTGAGCGGTGCAAGACACAAGGCCAGAGGATACAACCAGCACGACGATTGTGACAGCTCTTGCGTAACCCATCATGTTTGTTAATGAGTAGCGATGGGTTCTTGTTGGGTGCCAGAAGAAGCGGTGTCGGGCCTGCATGAGGGCCTGCCTTTTTATACCCACTAGCCGCACGCTCTGGCCATGCTACGGTTTCTGTATAATATGGTGATTACCGCCAGAGGGGAATGTGTAAAATGCTACTTAAGCAAGGTTTCACATTTATAACAAGAATGAAATCCCTTTCCTCAGTTCAAGTAGGAAATGCAAATTCAATTGCACAATACCTTTGCCAGTTCATTATACAGAGGAAGACCAATCCTGTATAATGTCCTGCAGTGTACTTCATTAGGTTGTATTTTAAGTCAGTGAGAATGTTCGTTTCCTACATTCTTCTACTACAAAGGAAGAAATCGAAGTCCTTTCTGTGCGATGTATTTTCTTAATTGCTCTGTGTGCACCTCTGTGTTAGAGCATTAGAGTTTCCTTCAATCTTGACTTCGGGGTATTTTTTGAACTTAGATGCAACCTGACAACAAGTGCGGTGTTAGGGAGCTTCTTTCATTTTTTTCGTATACACAAGGGTGTGGCTGACGATGGAATGCTGGTTTGTTATAGATGAAGGGTACATTCCCCATTCACACTCTGTCGTAGTCCACAACAGTGGCCAGTGGAGGGCTATATATTCATGTGAAGACATGTTGATGCCCTGTGATGTGCATGGCACCCCGTTTGGTATGAAGTATGCAAGCTGAAGAATTTAATCCCCTTCAGGGTGTTCTTCACAATCAATTTTAAGTCATCTGTGTGGTACTGATAGACTTTCATGGGCACTTTCCTCAATTCCAATGAATTCTCAGGACAAGGGGAATGAAAATCAGTTCAGTATGTTACAGTGCTCTGTAAGTTCTCCATATGCTCTGCATGACTTGTTTCCTTCATTCTTTAATGCAACCTACTGGTGTCCATGGTTCTTTACCGCTCTTTGTATCAGTAAAGGAATGTGGCCGGGTGTTGATAATTATTTTCCGGGTGCTGTTATGCTGTGGCTGTTGCGTAGCTCACTATACTGCATTGGAGCTGGGACTGAAGTGGAAAAAGACATGGGATCAGATAGAGATTCTTCTTACTCTGAATAATGAAAGTGCAAACCCTCGGCGAACTGCGCATGCGCGGTACCGCTAATTGATGGGCTGGGCTATTTGTAGT